CCCCCCCCCGCCGACGTCAGGGCTAGCGTGGCACACACCTTCAGCCTCCCTCTGTGGGACGGCGTCTTCACACTCTGCCAGGGACTTGTCACGCCCACTGAAGAGGAGACCGACGATTAGTGACACTTGGCCAGGCCCCATGGGTGGACAGAGGCTGTCGGATGTGCTGGTACCTTTGGAATGGGGCCTCTCTCAAGGCTGCATCAGGGTCAGATTCCTGGCCCCCACGCTGAGTGGCACAGGTCCAGAGAGGACCCTGAAAGCGGGAGTCCTTGACGGACCGTCCTGCTCCTCAGGGCTCAAGGCTCTGCCCTTCCCCCAGGTCCCACTGGGGTGTGGGTTCCGAGGACTTGTCCAGGCTTGCTGATTCGAGCCCCACACGCTCCCCGCCCGTGTGACCGGCTGTCTTCCCATCTCAGTCTCGGCTTCGCACTTACTTGTGTGAGTATCCTATGACCTTCGACTCCCTGCACTGGACCAGAGCTCCACAAGGCCCAGGCCTGTGCCCGTGGTGACACATGGCTGTTTCTTCAACGTGTGGCACCGCGCCTGGTACGTTGCTGGCATTCCACACCAGCAAGAGAGACAGGCACCCAACGGGGTCTTTTTCTTTCTTTTCTTTTTTTTTTCCCCTAATTGCCAAAGGTCATGTGCCCTTGCTGGAGAGAGGCAGAGAGAGGGAAAGTGAGAAATAACCCCCTGACCTGCAGGGAATGGCCATGCCACCTTCCCTTCACCTCCGTTCTCCTCTTGAGATTTTGGGCATGCACACACATGCACCCAGTGTGATTTTCAAGCCACCAGGTCTGGGACTTGAACCAAGTTGACTATGTGGGATCCAACGCCTTAAGGTCTTGATGCCATAATCCACCCCCAGCTTCAGGCAGCCCCAGATTAGGGGCACACTCACAGCCAGTGTGTTCAGGGAGGTTCCCAGACCCGAACCCAGAGACTCCGTGTGGGTCAGCCTCACAGCCTGCTCCGTTTCGGCTGTACCCCCATCTGGCCCCTCCATAAGTGATTGTCCATGTCTGTTGGATACGGTCAAGGGTCTGCGCCAAATAACCCCGAGGTCACATTCAATCTTTTGACCTCCCGCCCGTGGCCAGGAGTGAGTTCTGTGTGACTCAGATGAGCAGTGTTCAGAAAGCACAGCACCTCTGACTTGTCCTGACTGACAGGTGACCCAGGCCGTGCAAGCACTGCTGCCTGGTTGGGCTGGTGATGGCTGTGAAGGCGGGGCACCCTGCGGTGTCCAGCACCTGTCTCCAGAGCCAGCTCAGGGATGGGTGCGAAGAGCGTAGATGAGAATCCAGGTTTTCTTGCATGGATCAGCTCAAGCAGATCCCATCCAGCATGCAAACGACTCTCCACCCCTCCTCGCTTGACTCCTACCCCTCTGCCCTCAGAAAGTGCTTTCAGGAACCACTGAAGCAAGACTGGAAACAAGACAGCCTCTGGCCGGTGAGATTACGAAAGGAAGGGTCAAGGAACAGTGTGGTTCAGGCAAAATAAAACTCCCGGAGCAAAGAGGCACAACTGTGACCGCATTAGCTTTGTCAACCAAAGCAACCACATTTCCACCAAAAGAAAAGCCTCTTAAAAAAAATAAAAGTCCCCTTTCCGTCTGTCCTCTTCGTTTCTGCTGCTGGCTGAGCCGTCGGCGCCCTCTCCCCGCGCTCCCCGCCGTACCTTGGAAAATTGAGGAAATCAGACTTTCTGCTAGCAGTCCGGGGAAGGGATACCAAAATCTGCTAAGATGAAGAAAAATCAGGGTAATGTGAAGTTTAAGGCTATAGGCAGCAGGTACCTTTACACCTGGGCCACACAGACAAAGAGGAGGCAGAGAAACTGAAGCAGTCCCTGCGCCCAGGCTCAGCAGGGAAGGAGCTAAAATGAACCAGACGCGGCTTGAACTACATTAAACATTTTTTAAATAAAAAAAAAAATGCAAAGAACTTCTGGTCACTTTTGGCTACATAAACACAATGACACCAGAAATACTATCATGTGAAACCTACTTTCTGTGTGTGTGTATGTGCATGTGTGTGTGTGTATTTGTATGTGTGTGTGTGTGTGTGCGTGTGTATATGTGAGTGTGCGTGTGTATATGTGAGTGTGCGTGTGTGTGTGTATGTGTGTGTGCGCGTATGTATGTATGTGAGTGTGTGTGTGCATGTGTGTGTATGTGAGTGTGTGTGTATGTGAGTGTGCATGTGTGCATGTGTGTGTGCATGAGCACAGATGTGTCCATAACCCACTCAGAAGGCTTCTAAGAGCCAAGCTATTTCCATGCCAATACGGCTAGCTCAGACAGCTCATTTCAACTGGCCATGCCAAAGAAAAGGCACTAGAACGCAAGAATCCTTCATAGCTATCAAGTGCTTTATTCTGATATACTCAGGAAACCACGTTTTTCCTGAAATATTTTGACTTGAAGAACTTTGGCTGGATGGCATAGAGGCCCCCCATGGCTCTCGTTCTCCTCCAGGCAAGGAGTGCTTGCTCCGTCTGTTTCATTTCAGCTAACAGCACTGATGGTCTTCTGGGGCCTGGGGTAGTGGATTAAACCTGTCTTTTCAAAAGTTCTGTCTACCTAGAACCTCAGAACATAACCTTATTTGCAACAAAGAGGTTTTTTTTCCCTATACCAGAGGGTGCATGCATGCATGTATGCAAGAGAGAGAGCATCCCCTGATGGGGCCTAGTCCCGGCCCGATCCCCCTTCCTCCAGTTCTCCATCCTGTCAGGATCCTGGGTATATGTGTGCATATAAATATATACATACCCAGTGTGTTTCTCCAGCTGATGGGACCAGGGCTTCAGCCGCTGTTGGCCATGTGAGCTCCAGGCCCCTCTGTGCAGGGCCTAAGAGCTGCACTGGGACCACCTGACTCCTGCTTGGATTTCCACCTCCTCAATAGAGCCTCGATGTTTCCATCCTTGCCACTGACTCAGACTTCGAGTGGCCCCTGGGAGGACAAGGTGGCATAGCTTGAACAAATTCACTCACGCCCCAGTAGCAGTTTCCTCCTCTGTAAAATGGGAAAATTAGCAGCTTTTACTCCTACATTGCGGGGAGAAATGAAATAAGTCAACATCTGTGAAACAGCTAAAAGGCAAGAGGCATCAAGTGGAACATCGTGTTCACTGCTCTATGGTATAAGGAGATGTTGACTTTGACACCAAGTGCTCATGAGAATCCTCCATCAAGCCCTATCCTTTAGGGATAATCTGATAATTTTATAAATATCTCGAAGAGATGAGAAAATGAACTAAAACAATCGGTCTGTGGGGGAAAGTTATTAGTGGGAAAAGGCCTGGGAGAGAAATCCTATTCTCGTTAGGTTTCCGTTCATATGCATTTAGAAAAAAATCCCGACTACCAGAAAGAGAAGACATGCCTCTTTCTTTTGCTCTCTCTTTCCTTCTCTCTCTTTCTTCTCTTCTTCCTTTCTTTCTGTGTTTCTTTCTTCTTTTTTGGTAGCTTATTGCCATAAGGTAAGTGTACTCATAGGGGAGAGACAGAGAGAGAGACAGTGAGGGAAAGTGAGAAATCACTCCCCTTGCAGGTAGACGGCCATGCCACCATCCCTTCTGTTCTCCCCTCCTCCTAAGATTTTCGGCATGCATGCAGATGTGCCCAGTGTTACTTCCAACCTGCTAAGTATGGGACTTCGACTGTGGTCAGCCATGTGGGAGTCCAGCACCTTAACTCTCTGCTGGCCCCTATGCCTGTTCCTTTTTACAGAAGGAACCCCATGAGCAAGCCCATCAGAAGCAACCATGTAAGAAAGTAATCCCATATACCATAGCCACAAGAAATATAAGATACTTAGGAATAAAACTAACCAAGGAAGTCAAAGACCTCTATAAGGAAAACTATGAAAACCTTAAAAAGGGAATGAAAAAGGACAAAAAAAAAAAAAGTGGAAAGACATCCCATGTTCCTGGATTGGCGGAATTAATATAATAAAAAAGGCAATCCTACCCAAATTAATCTATATATTTAATGCAATCCCTAAAAAATTACAAGAGACATTCTTCACAGATCCAGAAAAGACAATCATGGAATTTGTCTGGAATCATGAAAGACTCCATATTGCCAAAGTCATTCTGTGCAAGAAGAGTGTGGAGTAGGGGGCATCTCACTTCCTGACCCCAAAATATATTACAAAGCTATGCTAATCAAAAAAGCATGGTATTGGCACAAAAACAGACAGGAGGACCAATGGAACAGAGTAGAGACCCCGGAAATAAACCCCAAAACATACAGCCAACTCGTCTTTGACAAAGGGTACTAGTCAATCCAGTGGAAAAAGGAAAACCTCTTTAGCAAATTGTGCTGGAAAAACTGGGTATCCACCTGCAGAAAGATGAATCTGAACCCCTATCTGTCACCATTAACAAAAATCAACTCAAAGTGGATCAAAGATCTAAACCTCAGACTGCAAACTATAAAACTACTGGTGGAAAACCCTGGGGAAACTCTGGGAGACACTGGGGTAGACAAAGACATCTTGAGTAAGACCCCCAAAGCACAGGCAATAATCCCCAAAACATGTGGGACTATATCAGATGAAGAATTTTCTGCACAGCGAAGGGCACTTTAATTAGTGTGAATCTACAACTCTCAGAATGGGAGAGATAAGGAACTAATAACCAGAAAACACAGAGAATTCAAGCGGCTTACCCAGAAGAAAAAGATGAAAAGATTAACCCACTCAAAAGATGGAAAAATGAGCTGAACAAACAACTCTCTAAGAAAGACATATGAATAGACAAAAAGTATATGAATAAATGCTTAACATCCCCCATCGTAAGGGAGATACGGATCAAAACCACAATGAGATACCACCTAACCCCAGTCGGAATGATGATTAAAAAAAAAAAATGCTAAGTGCTGGAGGGGATGTGGTGAAAGGGGAACACTCCTAGACACTTTGAAGTACCACCTCACTCCAGTCAGAATGGCTAAGATTAAAAAAATAAAGAATAATAAGTGGTCGTGAGGCCATGGTGAAAAGGGTATCTCCTCCACTGTTGGTGGAAACGTAAACTAGTGTAGCCACTGTGGAGAACAATATGGAGGTTCCTCAAAGACTTTCAGATAGAACTACCATATGATCCAGAAATTCCACTCCTGGGTATCTACCCAAAGGACAAGAGAGCACTCAGTCAGAAAAACGCTTGCACATCTATATTCATTGCAGCCTTATTCACAATTGCTAAGACATGGAACCAACCCAAATGTCCATAAATTTATGAATGGATTGAAAAAGTGTGGCATATATACTCCATGGAATACTTCTCAACCATAAAAAACAACAAGGCTCTGGAATTTGATAGAAAGTGGATGAATATGAAGATCTGTTGCTGAGTGAAGTAAGTCAGGTATGAAGGAGAGACATTGTATGTCTCCACTTGACATACACCGACTGTCTACACTCTGTGGTAGAGGCCCAA